GAGATATATCAGCTCTGACACAAAGCTATTACCTGTTTGAGTTTCCCGATGGTGTCCCCGTGCTCCTCCCTCTGCTTCTCCACCTCCACCAGCTGCTGCTTCAGTTTCTCCATCTCTGACTGCTTCTCCTGCAGGACACAAAGACACAGATCAGGATTTCGTTCAGCAGCTCAAACATTTGGAGGAGAAATGCGGCGAAAAACATTTAAACGAGCCACGTTTGCACCTCCAGCGATGCCCCCATGCTCTTAATCCATCTGACACAGAGATTAATTTGAAAAAGGAAACTGCTTTTAATTCCCTTCTAATCTTCTGCCACTAATTAATTTGACTAAAATCTACATTAAAAACATCTGCAGGCTGTAGCTGCTCACCTGACAGAGGGAGGGGGAAATGTCATTCTGGAGGAAAACAAAAGTCTGTTAATTGCCTGTAACGTCTTACACCTCAATCAACAGCTCACCACGTGGTGCGAGAGAAGCTCTGAGACTTTACTGAGATGTACGACATTATTTATTTAAAAAAGAAAATCACAAATAATAATAAAAACTCTAAACTGCAGATTTTAAACTCATTTTGTAAGAAAACTTGTTTATTCTTTGCTTTCTTACAGGATGCGACTGTAAATAAAAATGTGCCATTGATGACCTGCCAGCCAGCTGTTCCCTCTTCATTGCAGCACACAGATGTTTTAGACATAAGGGCACTGACAGTTTTTCATACTCTATTTAATCGCATTAGTTATTTTGGAAGATTGGAAACAGTTTCTCAAATACAGAAATTTACAAGAAGTACAGCATGTGGACAAAAACCCTGAGCCACCTACACATTACACCTGAAGGAGCTGCTCGACCACAGAGACCCTCGGCATGAAGCTCCCAGTGCAAAGCTTTTGTGCTGATGTTAAAGCCAGAGGAGGCTTGGAGCTCTGCAGCTACTGACTCAGCAGAGCGCTGGAGACTCTTCATCATTTCGGTTGATGGCTCCACTTGGTAGCTTTCTGTGGTCAGCCACTTTTGAAATAACACCACTGACAGCTGATCGTGGAACATCTGGGAATGAAGAAACTTCACAAACTGTTTTGCAACAGTGGCATCCTGTTACGGTACCACTCCTAAATTCAGTAGGATCTTAAGAGTGACCCATTCTTTTACAAAAGAAAGCAGACTTCATGGCTAAGTGTTTGATTTTACACATCTGTAGCAATGGGAATTAAAACACCTGAATTCCAAGATTAAGCGTTGTGGAATAACAGATAAGACTTGCATTTAAATACCTGCTTCTCCAGCCTCTATAATTTTGACTTAATTTCTTCCAAACTATCATCTCTTTTTATTATAACTGTGTGCATCAGGTGAACATATTACAAGATATAATTTATAATAGGGCTGCCACAAACGATTATTTTGATAGTTGACTAGTCACTGATTATTTTTGCGATTAGCCGACTAATCAGATCATCATCCATTGGACATAAAACTACAGCTTATTGCAGCAGCAGCATCTGCTCTTATATAACTATCATTAGCTTACAGCTT